TGTGATGTCTTTACTGGGGTAGTATAGCTCATTCCTTACTTAACCATTTCAGATCAGGAAGACAGGGTTCTCGAGCCCGTTCCGCAGGAAGACGGCGAGTTAGACGCCTAAAGACTTTATAGTTCTATTTATAATTTTTATTTCGAGTATCTCTTTTAATTAGCTTATTCTTTCATGTTTTGAGTATGTTTTTGGTTATTGTGTAAGGGATGTTAATTAAAATTTTTATTACGCTTCCGCATTTAAGATTTTTAATACATACATCTTCATTTATTTTTCGGGGCCGTTACAGAACGGTCTAGATTCATTTCCTCTTTAAACGCGATTAGACGGTCGAGATCAAACGCGATGAACGGTCTAGATTAACGTGAGACATATATAAATATTTTGCATCATATCGAATCCAAACCCTAGCCGCCAGCCTCCCGCTGGAGAAGAAGAATCAGTCGCCGGAGAAGGGGGCCGACCACCTCCCGCCACCGCGCCAGAGCCACCTCTGATAGTAAAAAGAAGTAAAAATTCTCTTATTCATTTGGAATTTGATTTCGAGCACCCCCATGGCCAATCAGAGCAAAAAGAACAGCGAGTGAGCTGAAAACTACGGGCAAAGCCTGGCGCCACCATCGCGGGCAAAACTTGCAACCTCCTCTGATAAGCCCCTTTCCATTTTTCATTTCGTGCAATTTTTTCACCATTGTGTTCACCGTTCTGTTTTCTACAGGTTAACGAAGAAAAATGTTCAGCTGCAAAAGTGAACAGGTGGAGCCGCTGCACCGAAAAATCCCGCCATCGGTAGGTTTCTATTTTTTGATTTTTTTTTGCCAATCGAGTCTCTCTAACGTGTTTTCTCACACAAATGAGTATAAAATCGGCTGAAACTAACCAAACTGACCGAAAACGGTCAAACTAAGGCAAACCGCCACCGTGTCGGAATCTCGAAATTGACCAAAAAAAGATTTTTAACACCGATTTTAAATTTTTAGGGTATTTTTAAATACGTGAAGCATGTTTTAATCTTCGCAGCAAAATTCAGGAAACCCAAGGACCGCCAATAAGTGCAATAGAAAGTTCGATGTTTCAGACACCGATTCAGGTAAGAATCCCTCACCTTATTCTCTATTATAGAATTGAAGCTTAATAATCGATAATATGGTATTTGTGTAATTTTAAATTTTTTGAAAATAATTACAAGTTACTAATGAAGTCGGAACTGGTTAATTATTTATTTGTCATGTTTAACTAATTGTTGAATTTATAGCTTTAAATACATGATGATATATTGGAATAGTTAAATGATTCAATTGTGCTTACTTGATATATATATTGCTTGTATTGTGTGATTGACCGTTGATTTGTGAAATTAAAAATTAATATACAAACGGAAAATTATTTGGTCATGTGAATTAATGAATGGTAGTCTTACTGGATATTCTGAAAGATGGTGGACATATTAGGTACATAGGGAACCTTACCGTGAACGTTGCCTCATACTGGACGGGGTATCGAGAAATGATATAATTTATGTTCATACCGGACGGAGTATGGGGATGGCTTGATTCACCCTCATACCAGACGGAGTATTGAGGGATGATATTTTTTGCACTAATACCGGGCAGGGTCTGGGGACGGCCGATTAGTTGACAATGTTGGATATTGGTTCACGCGTAGTGGAACATCCTTATGGGCTCCTAGGAATATCAGTAGACAAATGAAAAAGAAAAAGTGATTGTTATTACTTACTTGGAAATGAGATTGAAATGTTATTTGAGTTATTGTCTCTATATCTCGATTTTAAAAATCTCGCAATGGTAAATATATGTAATAAATTGTTTTCTTTATGATAAATGAATTTACTTAAATCAAGAGGTCCATTGATTATTTTTATAATTTTTACCAACCTTCAGTTTCTGTATCAGTGAGTAATGTGATATTCTTACTAGATAGTATAGCTCACTTTTTCATTAACTATTTAAGATCAAGATGACCAAAATCCAGATCCCGATCAACAAGAGGGTTGTGAATAGTTCACCACTCAAACTCCATTCAAAAGCTAGTGAAAGTCGTCCTAAAATGCTCAATTATTTACCTTCTGTTTATTTCTTTAATTTTCGTTTGTTCTTCTAGAAGGGATATTCTCGTAACCCTATTGGGTATTCTAAATTATTGTATAAGGAATGTAAACCCTAAACTCTATTATTTCGTTTTCACATTTAATTTATAATTTTATTTCCTTTTAAATTTTGGGTCTTTACAATATTAACCATTATGAATTCTCAATTTGGTCGGCTCAATGGTCATATCTCCATATCATCATTTATATATGTGATTTAGTTAACACGATCAACTATTCTTTATCTTCTAGAGACTATCACATATATATTAGTATTACCATATCATTAATGACATAGTTTGATAATCCAACGACTAAGAACATATTATATTAAGTCATAAAATATTTTACTTTTATTATTAAGATCTTCATCTTGATGTAAAGTTTCTGAATTTAATCAAATACTTTATCATATAAATTAAATAATAAATTAATAAATATGACAATAAAAATATTATTGTCATATATTAAAATAAATTATCAAATAATAATGTATCCAATATATTATACGAATAATTGGATATTGGACAGAACAATTATATCTTTAACAATATCAACGAAAAAATGACTTGTAGTAATGATTTTTTTCCCCCTATTATCATAGATCATTTTTCTTGTAATGCAAGGATCACATATTACTAAGAATTTGTTAATAGTCCAATATTGATATTCCTCCAAAAAATATATATATATATCATCAAATTTGGTGAATTCATAATTAATTAAAATATAACTTAATTAGTCCATTTTCTACTTTAAATTTCAAATATAACCACTCAAGTAAAATATATATATATATGATAATTGAATAATTTTTATTTTTTTTGAAAATTTTTTTAAAAAATTTAAGTGAAAATTAAAGAAAATATTTTTGAATAAAAGAACAAACTTTTCAACTCATATTTTTTTGGCAAACATCTTGAAATTTATTTCAAAATCATGAATCATAATAAACCTATCTAACTAAATTAATTAGATTTTTGGTGCCATTGTATTACAATTTTTATGATTTGTAGGTTTTTTTTTTTTTTTTCCAAACTTTAAAATAAAATAGATGTGACTTTATATTTTCCGTTATTATATGTAAATAAGGCATTATTATTGTTCTCAAGAACAATCAATAATTTAAATTTGCTAGCAATTTGTATGAATTATAATATTTGTATGTTTTAGTTTAATTAACAAACTAAAAGAAATCACAGTAGACATTTTGAAATAAAGATGAGTTAGTTTATTTTTGAAATGGTTAAATGAGATTAAATACGCCAGATGTTTGCCGGCCTTTTTTTTTTTCCATGTAGGGCCAAATGAAAATTATGGTAATTTTTTATTTTCCTTTTTTGACCCAAATTTAAGATATATCCATATATACAGATATATGTCCATTTATGGAGATACATGTCCATTTATACTTCTTAGTACATGCATCTGTACATATATATATATATATATATATGTATGTGTTTGTGTGTGCTTGTGTATCCCTGCACCTGTATTTCCTCTCCCTCTGACGCATATATACATACAGGACAGATATGCATATGGGTAAAGATATGGTTTTGGTTATTTTATGGGTGTGGATTATTATTCAGTTTGCACTCAACAGGGCTGCTCCTCAGACAGCTCTCGTCACGGAGCTTCCTGGTTTTAATGGCACTTTTCCATCGAAACATTATGCCGGGTGTGTATGTCTGGTGTGTGTGTGTGTATATATATATATATATTTTTTTTTTTTTTTAATTTTTTATCTTTATATAGTAGATCAGTTTAGTAATTATATTTACTTTATTTTTATTTTATTTACAAAGGTATATAAGGATTGGAGATGGTGATCTGGATAATTTATTTTACTACTTTATTGTATCGGAGAGAAATCCTTCAAAAGATCCTGTTGTTTTATGGCTCAATGGTGGACCTGGCTGTTCTAGCTTCGATGGATTTATTTATGAACATGGTAAATATATTATTATTATTATTAATTATTTATTATTTATTATTTATTAATTTTATTATTATTATTATTACGAGTTGCAGGTCCATTCAATTTTCAGGCAAATAAGGAAGAAGGTAAGCTGCCAACTTTGCATCTCAACCCTTATAGTTGGTCCAAGGTAATCCATTTTTTTAATCCAAGCTTTAAGCACTTTTAAATATATTGTTATATTATCATACTTTAAAACATATACCAGCATGATCGGTATAATATAAATAATATTGAGTACGACTGAATATATATGTGTATGTGTTTTCATCTATAAAAACATTTTTGTATTGAAATTAATTTGTGCAGGTCTCGAACATTATATATTTGGATTCTCCTACTGGTGTTGGCTTCTCATACTCCAAGAATACGACTGAATATATAACTGGCGACCTTAAAACTGCAAATCATACACACCAATTCCTTCTCAAGGTAATTACCATTTTAACATTATATTTGGTTCAAAATTTATTATATTTTTATTCCAGTCTTTAAGTTTTAATTATTTAGCATGTAAAAATTATTAGAACTTTATAAATTTTAAATGTATAACTAAACATATGATATTATCATCTTTAAATTTTTTTTGAATAGAACTAAATTTTTATTTGTTTAAAGAAACAGACCACATAAATTAAAGATGAAATTAGTTTGTAAGTTACGTTCAAATTTCTCTGTCATTTATACTCTATTCCAGTTCTTATTTGATGAATTAAAATTTGAATCAAACTCGTTTATATACGCAGTGGTTCGAGCAATATCCCGAGTTCCAGTTAAATCCATTTTATGTAACAGGAGAGTCGTATGCTGGAGTTTATGTGCCAACTCTTGCTGCTGAAATAGTGAAAGGTATTCGTACGTCTTTATAGCGCATGGGTTCATGAAAATCTCTCTAAGTTTTTTAAAAATTTGCTCCTATTAATGGGTTCATAAAAATGTCTACAATTTGATATAGCTAGTGAAATTCAATTGGATTTGAATTTGGAAGCATTGAGTTATTATATATATATATATATATATATATATATATTCTCTAACAAATTTCTCTCTCTCTCTCTCTCTCTATATATATATATACATCTATCTATATATATATACATATGTGAATATATTGCAGGAATCCATGCCAGCGTAAAACCTGTTATTAATTTGAAGGTAAGGGAATGTTTCATAATCATGTAATGAATGAAATTGACATCTTCAAGTAAAAAATATATATACATATATATATTGAGATGGAATTGAATTAATTGTTTGGAGTTGGTGTAGGGATACATGATAGGAAATGGTGTGACAGACGAGAAATTTGATGGCAATGCACTTGTCCCCTTTGTCCATGGGATGGGCCTCATCTCCGATACCTTATATGAGGTGTTTGTGTGTATATATATATATATATATTATAAAAATATTGTTCATTAATACAATTAAAATTTTAGCTTAAAGCTCATACTTTATTATGTATTAAACACTTTGCAGATTTTTTATTTTAAAATTTAAAAAAACAAGTTATGAAATAAATATATTTACCAAACCACATTAAAATTTTTATTTTACATGATTGTGTGCATAATGAAAATTTATTTTCACAACGATAATCTTGTAGGAAGTAAAAGCAGCTTGTGGAGGATACTATTATCGGCCTATAAACAGTGATTGCAGTGATAAGATGATGGAAGTTTACGGAGTAAGGAATATAATTGATATTTCATGTATAAATATATTGATATGTATAAAATTGTTATATATATATATATATATATGTATATAATATATACATGTATGTATGTATGTAATGGCAGCTTATTGACGACTTGAACATTTATGACATCCTTGAGCCCTGCTATCATAGTCCAAGTGAAAATACAAACACAAAACTTCCATCGAGTTTTAGAGAATTGGGAGTCACTAATAAGTCTCTCGCTGTCCGGAAAAGAATATTCGGTCGGGCTTGGCCTTTCTTCGCCCCAATAAGACCGGGGATCGTTCCCATGTGGCCTCATATTGCCAAAGGCCAAAACACTTACGTACCTTGTACTGTAAATAATAATTGATTAAATAGATAGATATATATATGTATCTACATACATACGTATTCTTTTAATTTTTTGCAAATGAAAGAATGAAATTTTACTTTTGCCAATATATATGAATATTATTGATCTGTTTCTGCACGCAATGCTAGGATGATGAATTTGCTACTTCTTGGCTGAACAATGAACGAGTAAGAAAAGCAATCCATGTACAGATCTAGGTAACTAGTATTGGCCATATACTTACTACCCATAAGTCATATTGCTTATATATGTATGTATGTATGTATCGCATGTACAGATAATAGAAGTCACTAATACTACTTGGCTTATTTTGATTTACTATAAAAACAGGATAGCTGGGAATTATGTAGTGATAACATCGTTTACGATCATAATGCTGGAAGTATGCTGAGCTACCACAAAAACTTAACTATGCAGGGATATAGAGCCCTTATATACAGGTATAATATAATACGTTTTCCATCATTGTTAAATATTTATGATGGGAAACTAAGCATTCAGCATCTCATATGTTTCTTTACTTATAAAAAGATATCAGTTCACCTTGCGAAATAATTATTAAAGATTTCACAGACAAGTAGGGAAAAATTCTCTGCCCTATGTTAATTAAAGTTGTTGGAAAAAATAATACTTTATACTAGTTTAATTATATTTTTGTGTGTGTGTATAAGATAAGTAGAGAATAATAAAATACAATTTTTTATTTCATAAAATGTTATACAAGATTTTTAAGTAGAGTTCAAATTGTTTGTATAATTTAAATGACAGTGGAGACCATGACATGTGTGTACCCTTCACTGGAAGTGAAGCATGGACTAAATCAATGGGGTATAAAATAGTAGAAGAATGGAGGCCATGGCTTGTTAACCAACAAGTAGCCGGGTATTTATTCCATAAACTATATTTTTGGATCTTCTCATTATAAATATATTATATATATATATATATATATTTTTTTTTTTTTCTGGTAGTACCCATATATAAAAGCATTAACATTATATTTTCAAAATTAAGACGTTTAATGCTGCCTTTTGAATTTGATATTGTAACATCCCGTATAATTTAACGTTTAAATTTTGATTGCAGGTATCTTGAAGCATATGATAGAAACCTGACCTTCCTCACTATCAAGGTTTGGTCTCTACATAATATAATTTATTTTACTACTTAATTTTCTTGTTATATTAAAAAAAAAAAAAACATATTATTTATATCTTTCTCATTCTATGTAATTAACTTGTAATTCAAGATGACCAAAATATTTGGTTTTTTTTTAATGAAGTTGTATTTGTAGCCAACTAGCACTTTATATTTTGAAACATATAAAATATATATATATATATATATATAATCATAATCTTTTAATTGTGATTTTCTCATGTGTATGGCACAGGGAGCAGGACATACAGTACCTGAGTACAAGCCACGAGAAGCATTGGCTTTCTACAGTTGTTGGTTGGATGAAACTAAGTTTTGATTGATCAATGAGAATTTATATTAGGCAAATGTTCATAAACATTGATCGAATAAGACTTCATTTTAAAGCTATTATGTATTTTACTATGAATAATTTCTTTCTTGGATGAATAATATTATCTCCAATTAAAGTATAAGGAACATAATGTTAGCAGTGGTTTTGAAGATGAGAATTATAAATTTTCATATTATGCCTAACATGTTTATAATAGTAGATTTGGTATAATAATGACATAAAATATATATATTTCGTAACATACCGCGCAAAGCAAATTTATTATTCACATTTAACAAATGGTCTTTAGATTATGCAATCACAATATAATAAGACATAATTTGAATTAAATCAAGTCCATGATATTCATAGTTATAGCATCAATCTTATGTCAATATTATTGAATTCTTATTCAAATAAATTAATGTTTATTATGTTATATATGAGTTATTGATTTATCTCATCATCATAGTCAATTAATACCATAGTAAATTTTATTGGTGTTTTTGTTAAAAATATGTAGAAATTATAATTTATTTTATTTATTAGTTTGAATTCAAACAAAGTTTTATCTTTAATTAGATTTAACTCATGTTTATTTTTTAAAAATCATGTAATTAGTGGAACTTTATCTTTTAGAAAATTTGATTTATATTTATTTTTTAGATAGTGATAGATTATTTTAAACAAAAATTGACTTAGATATAAACTTATTTAAAAATATTTTAAATTGTTAATTTTAGAGTAAGTGAAATTAATGAAAATTTAAATTTTATTCATCCTAAAAAAAACCCAACAAATAGTATCAGAGCTCTTCTTGATTATAGGTATGTGAGATTTCACCTCTTATTTTCACAGAAGAAAATTATTAATTACGAGCTGTGAAAATACAAACATATATATAATTTTTTGATTTGTGAAATGTGATATATATAAAAAAAAATTGCAAGTTGAAGAATGAACAAACAAATGTTGTTGAAGAAAAATAATCTTTTTTAAAAGAAATTGAAAAGAAGTACTTCAATAATCGGATGTTGGTAAGAAATGCATCAACAATTGAAGATCAGTACTTCAAAATATGAAGATTAAATAAAAAATATTGGAGAAAAGTACGCTAATAAAACAAATTTAGTAATTATAATTTTTAAATTAAGAGAAAGTATTGAAAATTAATGCATAAATTATAATTTATTTTATTTATTAGTTTGAAAATTCAAATAAAATTTTATCTTTAATTAAATTTAACTCAAATTTATTTTTTTAAAATCATGTAATAGTGAATATTTATCTTTTAACAGATTTAGTTTACTTTCATCTTTTAGATAATAATAGATTACTTTTAAAAATTTTGATTTAGAAGTAAATATATTTAAATTGTTAATTTTGGAGTTAATGAAACCAATAAAAATTTAATCTTTCTTCACCTAAAAAAATTTCTTAACAGTTTTTTAAATGAATAATTTCACTAGACTAACTACATTATTAGACTAACTCTATTATTAAATTTATATAATACTATTAAACTCTCAATCAATGAACAATTAAATGTCATTCCTTGAGGACAAAAAATTTATTGGGCCCTAACAAGTATTAGATACAATGTAGCACTTGATCCCTGATGAATTGCCGCGCTATATGATGTAAGCTATATAATCACCAAAGTACTAGCTAACTTACTTCAACCTCACCTAGACAAGATCATTCCCCCTAGCAATATGCATTTGTTAAGAGCAAAAATATCCACGATATCATCACCTTAATAACCAAAATTTATTCCATTGCATGGAAAAGACCAGAGGAAAGATGGGCTGGTTTGCTCTCCCATGTGACATGAGTAAAGCTTTTTATAAAATTGAATGGAATTTCCTAACTATGGAAATCAAACAAATAAGCTTCTCCCCCAAAGTCATACAACTATACCACTATGAAAATTAAAAAATACAACTAGATTAACCATAAGATATCAAATTGAATTTTACCATAAAATAAATTATAAGATAACTACTAAGCAACTCATGCTAAAAGTTGAAATGCATTCATTAACATTTAAGATTGAACGACGAGACTAACCCACGATTGGCTTAATAGTGACACTTCCATCCTTTTTTATTATGAGGAAGTAAGTTCAAGTAATGAGTTATATATTTCATGTGTTTTTATTAGAAGGTTGTGCTACATGTATCATCATTTTAAATTTGTATTGTTATTAAGGTTCATATGTTGTCTAATATTCGTAAGTGCATAAATTTTTATTAAAAAATAAAATAACAACTAAAAATAAAATTATTACATTATGTTATTATTTCTTACCCCCATGATTAGCTTAGGGACATATTATTAAGATTCATGCTCAATTATTAAAAAGTATTAATCCAAATATAACATTTTTATTGTAGGTTATGTTCTCTACCATGGTCTGAGAAAATAAATAAATAAATAATCTCAATCTTGCAGTAACTTATAAAAAGATACCCAAATATTTTTTAAGGAAAATAATTTTTTTGGATGTGTTAAAGAAAATTTTATTCATTAAACATTTCTTAAGAAATGCTTTAAATATAAAGTCCTATTAAATTAATTATGTTATAAAATAAATAATAAATGGTGAAATTATAGAAAAAATTATCTAATAACAAAACGTTAGTTATTAAATATTTTTTTTCTAAAATTATTTT